ATTCAAATGTAATGTCAATCGACATCTCCAGTTACCTTGATCTATCCACTATCCCTCTCCTCATCCTTTCTTCTATCACTCCTATTTGCTTTTGCTCCAAATCTTCTGCAACCCCCTGCATCCTCGTGACTTCACGCCTTGCTCTGGGCGTAATGCTTAAAAAAAAATTCTCTCCAATTACTCAGGCCCGTTTCGATCAACATCACAAATTAATATTTTTCTTCGTATTTTTCTTCAGCCTGATAATATGGGGGAGGGTGATAGATACTCTAAATGCTGAACATCAAACCTGGGGACCGAAACTCCCCTTACAATTTAATAAGTCAAGCTGGGGCTCACAACTTCCCTTACTTTTGTTTCAGTTGATACATTTTTATCTTTTTCTGGTTTGTCCTTAGTCAATTTCCACAATAGTAGATTTACTCGCATGTCAGATTTACGATAGATAAGAAAAGTAAATTGCTAATGCATCGTTCCAATTTGTAAGGATGATACAATACAGATCGCCCTTTCTTTACTTTCACATTACCTTGGAAAATGTTTTTCATTCTCTCTTTTTATCTCTTTATCTTCCAGTTTATATTTCATTTGGGGCTTAACCCTTTTCTGCTCAGAATTAATGTCTAAACACCTCCTAGCCTCAGCGTCACACTTTGTCGGATAGGGTTATGATGATGTTTTTGCTTGTGGATTTTAATGCACGTGATACATGACTAACGCAAGCAAAAATATGAAAGTTCTGTCTTTTTGTCTGTTTTCTCCCAACCTCTGATAAAGTTTTAATAAAACAATAATTTAACATGTTAGATTGGTAAACGCTTCCTATTTGTTCTTTATTTTATCATATACTAGCAGCTGGTCGATCAGGAAAAAAGAGTTCAATTAGAATGAAGCAAAAACAGCATCATGTTTAGATATAATAGAGTCTATCCTTTTCAGTTACTTTAAAGTACTTTCATTAAAAAAACATTTTGAATTAATGCATGCAGTTACTGATATAACAGAAGTAGTCTGTATTTATTCAATCGAAGTTAACCGAGGACATGAACGGGCAAAACAGGCAACATGAAAACCCACTTCAAACCACAATTATTTTGGAGTTTTTGAAATTCAATTTTTCAGTGTGCTACCAGGGATGTAAAAGAGGATACATTTATAAGGCATTTATTAAGTTTGATGAAAATTGGTTGAAAGATCAAGGAAAAATAAGAAAGGAACCAGTAAAAATCATTTTTCGCTATTTACGCGAGTTTTCACTGTATGCGTGGACTCACTTTTCAAGTTAAATGACTGTTAAACCATCAACGTATTGTTGGCTACAATTGAGTGAAGCTTGTATTAGATTGCTTCAAAACTGAGGGAGTTTTTAATTTAAAATTTGTGTTGAAATCGATTTTTCGTTTTTCGCATTTTTTCGCTAAACGCAGTGGTGTAGAATTAAAACTAAGGTATCGTTGAGATTGTCATGATGTAAGTAACCTACATATCGAGTTTGAACGAAATCGGAAGAAAAAATTGTATTCATCAATTTTTGATTGGCTTTATCGATTATTGATTTTTTTAGAAATTATCGATTTTTTACACTAAGAACCTATCTCTTTACATTCTAAAATATATGTGCCAAGTTTGGTCAAGATCGGTTGGAGGGATCTCAAGTGAAAAGGTATCACACAGACACACAGACATCCTCTGTTTCATATATATATATATATATATATATATATATATATATATATATATATATATATATATATAATCTGATTTCTTAAGGCATGAAGCTGTCATTTGTCATGCATTATTGATTTCTATATAAAAAAATGTTTATGTATACATAACCTATTGACTACACTGGCTCCATGGATATCATCATCGTCATCATTAGTTCCTTGATTGGGTGGAATCGAAAGCTTGAATGCTGGGGAAGTATTCATTAATTGCGTAACGTGACTTGGGCAAACAGGCCTGGTGGAGTCCATTCTTCTCCGGGTCAAGCGACAGTCAATGTCCTCCTACTTAAAGGCTCGAATTGGTCACGGACACTTGCCGTTGAATCTCCCACTCTGGTCATTTGCTTCAGTCTAGGTTGTCCTCCGCCCAGCGATGATCTATCAACACCGCATTGGTTACATACATCTATCCGATTGCACTGGGTAGCCGTATACCCCTATAAGAAGGCTCATTCGCCCATTAACAGGTTTTGCTTTAATCTTGCTGAAAATCCTGCTGGGGAAACCGATTGAGATGCCGATGACCCAATCATACGCAAGTAATAGCAAGTTAAATCGTACCAGTAGCAGTCATAGATATGAATATAACATATTTTAAACAATATAATGATGTATGTAAAATCTTTCTAGGTAAAAGTACTGGACAAGATACAGTACAAGGATCTATTTGAACTATTAGGAAAACTAGATTTAATTGGAAAAGATGTGAGAATAATCCAGAAATTATACTGCGGTTACATCACCTTCATATGGATATAAAATGAATTGAATCACAACACAAAAATAGAAAGGGGCGTAAGACAAGAATGTCTTCTCACCTGAGTTATTCAACCTCCACAGAGATGCGATCCTAAGGGAACTGGAAACCCTACTAGAATTTGTTGGGTATAATCATTAAGTGATTAATGGAAATAAATCCGCGGCAAAGTACTCGGAAATTTGCAAAGATGTCAAACACATCACAACCTACCATATGCCGACATTTAGAAAGTCAGTAAGCTGGATGTTTTAATTCAATACGGTCTTAGCGAACAGAACCAAACGGATCGTTTATCCATAACTAAAGTCTCCTTTCACAACAGAGGAATAACTCGTTACTTAAACATATCACAACAGGCGACGGAGAGTGGGTTGCATACAACAATGTTGAACGCAAAATGAAACGGATTGACAATGAAGAATTTCCATAAGAAGTCACCGCAAATAATGGTGAATATAATAATTAATAAATCTATTAATATATATATTAATTAATAAAACGAAATTGTACTATATTTTTAAAGAATAAATTTGATAAACAAAAACGAAAATTATTTATAACTCCATCTAACAGATTTCATTAAAAAATTATTTTTCTAATGACACATAGAATAAACATGTCAAAGTAGAAGTTTTCCAAATTGTCTTAACATATATAAAATTGTCTTAACAATATAAGTAGATGACCCTCTGTTAATGGATGACATGGAAAAGAAACTACAGGATTCCTAGACAGGGTAGTAAAAGAAAGGGGGAAGAAAGGACTAACTACCAATTACAAGAAGACAGAAAGTATAGTCATCAACAAGAGGAAATACCAACATGCGAGTTACAAGTTGGGATGTCAGCATCAAGCAGATACAGAAGGTTAGGTGCTTTAATAGAGGATGGAAAATGCAACATTTGAAACAAGTACTGGTCTAGAGAAAGATGCTTTCTAAAACCTAAGCAAATTGTTGAAAAACCGTCAAGTTTCGGTAAAAAACTAAGAAAAGAGTGCTGGATTGCTATGTGATATTCATCCTATTATATTGCAGTGAATGCTGGACAATCTCCCCCAAATATTTTATTCTAGCATTCAGACATATATGTGGATCACTCAGAACGTAGGTGATTATGGCTATCCACAGATTCTTTTTACTTTATTATCTATGAATTGACATGCCTTATTGGTAAAGGTAATGAAGTTTTCCCCGATTGCCTTCTTCACGGTTTGGAATTCCAAATACTATTTGGTCCTGATTGGTTGCCACCCGACTTCGTCACGGCTAAGACCCACCATACCACAAACATTGTAGCGAACCAGACTTCGTATTCCATTGGTTAGACGTAGGTTTCACTCGAGGAGCTTTTTCCATGAAGCGTTGCTCTGTGGAACCGACTCTCTAGAGAATGCTTCCCTGATCACTATAATCTTAACCTGTTCAAGTCTAGAGTTAACCATCATCTTCCCCACATCCTCATTCTGTAACCCTCTATGTTGAGTCGCTCTCGGGCCTTGTACATGGTAAACATCATTGTAAAAAAAGACTTTGTTGATTATGCGCTCTATCCATGTTATTCTCAGCATCCTTCTGTAGAACCATAACTCTGTTGGATCCTTTAATTTTGCTTCTTTTCTTTGTCATGAAAAGAAACCTTCGGCTGATTTGGATGAACACTATTATAAAAAACAACAACAACAACAACAAAAAAGAAACAAAAAGAAGTTAACTGGGTCAAATTTCAAATTTTGGGATAGTCTGCTGGGTTCACAAATGTCATTGAGAAAGGCATGAATCCATATCTTCTTTGCCTAGATATGGATTAAATAGTAGGGTTGACTGGTATCTCTAGTTTCAGGTGGCAAGATACGAATTCACTATATGATCTATATTACCTTAATTTATATTTTCTCACTGTGAGATATCCACTTGATAAAAGAAAAGCCCTGGTCAGACACAGAAGAAAGAAAAGCCCTGGTCAGACACAGAAGAAAGAAAAGCCATGTTTTTATTGTTTTCATTTGCCGCGTTTAACCTTTACATATGAAAAAAAAAAAAAGAACGACTGTGGGTAAAGAAAGGAAATAAAAAATTATTCGTCTATATTTCTGAGATGAGTTATTGTAATTATTTACATTGTTTGAACATTTGCCCTCTCTATTTGCCATATTCATGAAATATGTTCAATACCTGGCTACTGCAGTGGTGAACAAAAACTTTGAGAGTTGAGTTAAAGGGAGATAACTGAGACATCCGGAAGAGGCATGGCTCGTGGAACTAGAAAAATCTACCACGGTTGACGAAATAAAGGGTTCAGTTCGAAATTCCAATCACCCGAAGAAGTCCGGAGCGTACAACGGTCGAAACGTCGTGAATATAGCAATAAAGATGAGAACAGTCCAAACAATGTAAATAATGTAAAAAAAATATTGTTAATGACACAATAAATAAAAACCTTCCTTCGTAACACATCCAACTAGAATGTGATTAATATCATTGATTTAGCTTTTGTTATCCCAAGACACAAGGCTTACGGCTACATCACGTTGAAACACCGGTTCAGGTACGATCAAAGAAGTTAAGCAACATCGAAACGGGTCAGTACTTAGGTGAGTAACCACTTGGGAATATCAGGTGTTGTAAGCCTGGATGTGCAGGTGGTGTAATGGATAATGACTAATAATTGTTAATCGGAGAACCGAGTTCTAATTCCAGTTGAGTTCGTTATATTCGCTTACGCGTGAATACCTTTGAGAAACGTATGAATTCATTTCCTCTCCCCCAGCTATGGATTAATTAGTAAGAATTCTGAATCATTATTATCTTAAAAGAAATTCTTACAATCTTAATAAAATATTTTCTGGCTTTGAATAACCTGCAAAAGCTTGATAAGTCGGAGAAAACGTATTAATTAATCAGATTCGTGATACAATAAGTAAACGTAAATAGAGTAGTAGCAACTGCTGCATGCTGTTCCTGGATTTGCAGTAGCAGAAGTCGCCGAAATACATCTGTAGCAGCAACCGATGTAATTGTAATATAATTTTTGGATGCAACGAAAACAATAGAAGGCGGTAAACATTAAACATGAAACAGAAATTATCAAATAAATACCTTTTTGTCGACTGTCTGAGTTTTGACATAGCACACATTCTTGTAAGGTAATTTAGCGTTCAATATTCGGTGTCTCTAACGATGTCACTTTATTTTATATCTATTTAGAGAATTTGACGAGTTGTAAGTTTAAGCTTAAAGCCCGGGAATTTTTCTGGAATTTATTGATCTGTTCTCCCCCATCGATGGTACTAGAAAATCGATAATAACTATTGGAGTACGAGTGGTCTCCTCCTCCTTCGCTTATAATTTGTCTTTTGTTATCGGTAGCAAGGGTTGATAGAACGAAATTGGGTTAGAAAAAAAGGGAAGAAAAGGAGGTCAAAGACATCAAAAGGAAGTAGAATAAAAGAATAGTAGAATAAGCAAAAAAAAGAATAAAAGAATGAATATAGAATATGTTTTATCTAACCTTGACCTTTGTTTCTATGAAAACGTTACCTACAACTCTTTTTTTCTCTCGTACACTTCCTATTTCTTCTCTCCTCCCTTTCCCTCTTTCCTCCCCCGTCTCTCTCTATATAAATGATTGATAGCGCTCATAAATATACGACCGAAGTCTTTTGTTCCTGCGTATTTCTGTCTGTTGTAACATATGTAGGCGAAAGCAAGAAAGCTGAAGTGAAAGTGAAAGTAAAAAGCACCGGAAGAGACAATGAAAATAGAATAGAAACAAGAGCGAAAGGAGTGAAGAACACACGAAGGAATGAACGAACCAACGTAAGCGAGTTATAAAAAACGCGTGAAGGAGAGGGTGAAAACACAGCTGTCAAAAACAGAGAGGCGTTATCGAATATTGGAAAAGAGAGGAAGAAAGGAAGTGGGAGATAAGAAAAACTGATGGCAGGAAAAAAGAACTAGCCTTGACCTCCAGCTGCCGTTTTTGTTCGTCTTACACGCTGCTTTTATAAATCAAAATTTTCCATTAACTGGATGCAACGGTATATTTGCTTATATGTGCGTCTGTTACTTACGGACCAAGTAAATAAATAAATAGATAACGGAAGTATAGCGATAAGAAAAAAAAAAAAAAAAAGCAAACACTGTTTCCCGAGACTTTCGCTCCCGGAATGTGGTCGTCTTTCTTGGTGAGTAAAGATTCAATGTTTATTGTTGGTGTTCGTAATCAGGCCATGTTAAAACTCACACATTTTTGACATTTTTTTTGTTTCTGTCTATTTATTTTTATTTCTTTACCATGTCTGCACTTGCAGAGAGCACTTTTGCACGCATTTCTGACTGCTTGTCAGTCTAATTTCACATCGTTCTATGTTTTATTATTATTGAAATTACTCGATTTTTATTCCCTAGTCTGAAATATCAGGACTTACACTGTCTCCATTTCTCTTTCTCCCGCCTTTTTCCATTTTCTAATGGCGCTGATAATATTAATGTTTGTTTCGCTTCTGTGAAAGACATTGCATTCTGAGACCAACTAGGTTTGTCCAGGCAAAATATCGCTAGTTGCTGTGTACGCAAGCGCATTTACTGTGTAAGGGTTGCAGTTATTTGCCGATTTGCTAGACAATGACAGACTTTTCTTGTCGTTACTTCTTTTTATTAAAACATCACGACTGCGATTATAAAAGGTTGTAACACTATTTCAGCTGATGCTGAAATATAACATCTTGTTTTCTTGCGTTCACATTGCCTTTTTTTTTAGATTTTTATTTAAGTCTTGTAAGTATCGCGGACTTGTCCATTTTCAATAGTAAACCCTCTGACTGTGATTTAATTTTTTTTTTTTTGCAGTAGTAAAAGCTCTTTCCAATTATTTATTTAAGAAATGAATGTCACCAATTGGCAGATCAAACATCAAGCCTCGTCATCCGTAGTTCTTATCCATAATGTTAGAGCGGCACTGGTAATGTCAATTATCGCTACTGTAATTTTGTTTATAAATCTGTTCTACTGCTATCATACCTCGTATTGATGATTACTCTGTAGATAAGAGTGCAACTCAATGGTAGAGCATAGGACGAACTGATTTCTAAACATTGAATTTTTGAGGTTCTCTGCAGTTATGTTCTAAGAAAGAAAGAAGCCACTCTCGGATTTCTTTCATATTTTCCTATCAAAGAGGAATTATCTCACCAAGGCAGATCCCTTCCATTGCACTAAAAAGAAATTCAAGTTCAGCTAGTTAAAGGAATTCTGAATTGATACTCCATTGTTTTGAGGGTACGTCACTGACTTATGGCCAAACAAGGCTTAGCCAAGTAAAAATACTCGTATCGAGAAGTAAATAAATGTCTTATTTTAAAACTAAATAAGGACACTTGATAGTAAGTAATCCTTCTGATACTTGTAAAATCGACAATACTCACATGTTATGCTTTATTACTATTGCCACTTCAGTTCCTATTAAGATTGTTGTTATTGTAATCGATCTTTGTGATATTGACAATAGTAATGATGAGGATTCATTGGTTTCTTGTATGTTTATATTTATTAAGCTTAGATTAGTACAACACAAGTTCAAATGTGGTGAAAATTAATCGAGCTAAGAAGACTGCGTTACGCCAGTCTTATAAACGGTGGCGGGGGCTGTCTATGTACCTAAATAAAAAATGCAGTCAATACTCTGGCCTTTATAAAGATTCGAACAGCGATTTGAAGGAACGCTGGAAAATGTTTCAAAATGAACCAAGTTTCTTGCATGTTGTCATGCCACTGCTTTCTATAATCAGTTTTGAAAAGAAATTATGAAAAATAAAAGAAATTTTAACAACCAAACGATGCATGATATTAATAATATCCCTTAGCCTAGTGGGTAAGGCGTCGTCTGACACAACTTATAAAATGCCTTCGAGTCGATTATTTTGTTATGATTCCTCAAAAAAAATGTATAAACCTGAAAACCTTGATGTTTTGACTAATAATCAAACTTAGAGTCCATACCTTCCGAATACCGATGAGCAAAATAATAATTTATATTTTTTCTGGGTCTCATTGATTTTTAAAACATTGTGATAATGAATGGTCACGATTCGGTTTAATCCCTTAGTCCATATTCTTATGAGGAAACAACGATAATACCAGAGTGAAACTGATGAGAAGGATATTATGATAACAGCTGCTGATAGTATTGTCAGTATTGCCTAGTATGCTGGGGCCGGTGTTGCTATGGTTGTTGTGGAGGTGTTTGTGATAGTGGTGGTGCTGGTGGTGATATTTTGTTCTTGGTGGTAGGGTGGTGGTGGTAGTGGTCTTTTTTCTTCTTGGTGGTTTTTTTTTTCTTGGTGGTGGTGATTAAAATAGGAGAAGTGATAGTTTTTGTAGTACTAATAATAATGACGCGAAATGAGTTCTTATGAATGGTGATGGCAATAATGATGATTTTGATAATGATGATTTTGATAATAATGTTGACGACACGGGTAGTTTTCATTACTACGGTGGTGTTTGTGTTGTAATTTTATCGAAAAAGGACAAAAACTATCTTTGATTCAGAGTTCAGGAATTAAAGTTTTTTCTTATCTATACCAAATACAGTTAATCCACCCTAAAATCAGACTAATCACATTTCAGTCTGCTTCGTTATTAATTAGCTGTAAGATGCTTAAAGGGTTTGTAATTGGACGATGACGATAATACTGTCTTTCCAAGAGTTTGTATACAACATAAGTTATACTTTGCTTTATAAATTACTCATTCATTTCTTTGCTCTTTCTTTCTATTCTCTACTTCTTTATGGCGTGTCCCTTCAATATGTAAGCGATTATGGCTCTTCACAACCTCCTATCCTATGTAACTTTTAGTAACGTTTGTCGCTTTGCTATGTCTCCCTTTCTCTGTTCCGACAGCCATTCACACAGGTAGGTGGCCGACAGCCTTCCCTTGTTTTGCCTTCTATATGTCCTGTGAGTATCATATTCCTCAAGCCTTCCTTCCTCATTATGTTTCCTATAAATTCTAACTGACCCTTAGTACAAATGTGCTGTTTCGATTTTTCTTAAAATTTCTTCGTTGCTTAATGGAATTCTCAGCAACCTCCTGAAGAGCCACATTTCTGTTGCTTCAAGTTTGTTCTTCATCTGAGAGGAGATTACCCAGCATTCACTGTCATATAAGAAGATTTATATTGCATAAGAGTTCTGCACTATTTTCTTTGTTTCTAACGAAATTTTCCTGTTTCTTGGTACTTTGCTTAGCTTTCGGAATGCATCTTTCACTATTCCAATGTTTGTTCGGATTTCGGAGTCACATTTTCCATCCTCCGTTAAAATACTTCCCAGATATTCAAAATGTACTTCTTTGATGTTCGCACATCCATTAGCATCATGGGCTTTTTCTCTTGCTGACAACCATACATTCTGTCTTCTTACATTTGATGGTTATTGTTTCCCTTAAATATTTTATAATACACAGATTTAGACATATCATAAATTGCGGCGTAAAAGTCTACCTGATGTACAAGTCGACCTCAATGTTTTAGCTCAAAATTCTGAGTTAGGCCGATACCTACCATATAGGCTGACTCCCGCCCAAACATAGGGTAGGCTACCAATGGCTCAAAACTTAGACCTAC